TATACTCGTCTTATGAAAGTAATATGGTGAATTTATATGCGATATCTGGTTCACATATCTAATATTCTGATTACGATGCCTCGACGCATCTGGTAATCAATATCGAGACATTTTGTTGTAGACATCTAGACAGTTTGTTAATTCTCTCTAGACGTGTGATACTATTGACGCGATAGTTAATTGTTACTCGCTGCGACGTTTCCTTTTTCATCTATACTAATTTGTAAAGACATTGGTGCTATAAAAGTGTAAACGCTGAAACCGTCAAATATTTGGAAAAATGAAATTTCTTAAAATATGTCGACGAATTTAGAAGTAAATATATGAAGATTATATACAGTAAGTATATGAAAATTATATATAATATGATTAGATTTTAGGTTAGGTAAGAAGTCTAACACTACTACTGTATTCATAATATTCACCAAATGAATTGTATGCTATACCAGACGGTTTGGTAAACGTATTTAAGCATTACTGTAATGCTACTTAGACAATGCGCTCACCAGATAGTTTGGTATCATTGATTAAATATCTTGTTACACGATTATTCACCATACCGTTTGGTAAACCTAAATAGAATTCTGGTTAGTATCATCAGACATTTCCCTCAGTGTAGTAAAACTGAAAGAAATTTAAATGGAACTGAACTAACTTCTCTCTTTTATCTTATCGTGCAAACAGCAATACGAATTTCGTATCGTTGCTGGAGCAGAATTTCGACTCCTTGGAGAGTTCAGTCAAAAGAGAAAAGAAATAATTGACAAGTTCAGAAAATGTAAGATTTGCGCGCGTGGAAAGTGTCTCTCGTTGCTCCAATTTTGTCCTGAATATCCATGATACCAAACAGACTTTCTTGTCCCTTATCGATTAATTAGCGGAAGTTTTAAATATAGATCGCGTGAATCGACAGGCGATTAGTGGGACGGCCAGGTTTTTTCCAGCCGTGAGCTTCAGCAGCCCATTGAAAAAATCGGACTGTGAGCTACGCAGGGCTTTCTTATCGTCGCTCGCGACGTCGATACGCGCGAGTGATCGCGTTACCACGATCTCGCGGATGCGTTTCACGATTGCCAATCTAAGAGACATCGACACGAGATGCTGTCAATTAACTGGTGCGATTAACCGGTCGACGGCCTGCTCGACTTTGCCGCTCCTTGCTATATATTTCGCGCGGAGGTCGTTGACTCTGATTCACGTTTTCACTTTTTGTCAGAGAAACCTCCATTTTACACGCAGCGCAATCGTCACTTTCGCGATTATTCGACACCGATGCGATCTATTACGCGGAGTAGTCAAGATATAATCGATCATGCGTTTCGTGAATTTGCAAAGTGTTGGCGTGACGGCATTCCGCGAAAAATCTCGCACAAGATCGACATTAACGCTTTGACAGCCGCCGTCACGTGTACATGGTTTTGCTTCACCAGTGGTCGTCGCCTTCTAGAGAAAAATATTTGTCATTAATAACAGTCTACTATATAATATGTAATGTCA